TTTTACAGGAAGATGGTACAAGTTAGCGAAATAATGAAGGATCTCTTAGATAAAGGCATCATTAGGGAATCTCGATCCCAATATGCCAGCTCAATAATTTCAGTGACGAAAAAGATTTTCGAGCACTTATTCGCAATACAGAGAAGGAAAGATATCCGTTTTCATTTATTGACCATTAAATTGATTTTTTTTAGGATGACATAACTTCGTCACCGGCCCTGATATGGCGACTTCATGAAATGAGAATCAGGGACGACTGTATTCACTACACAGGCTTCGTTACGTCCGCGTCAGGAGGGAACTACGAATACTGAAAGATGCCATATGGTTTGACAAACTCATCTATTGTTTACAAACCTATTATCAATTAATGATATGCTTCGGGAATTCATTGATTCTGATGACTTGCTCGTTTATATCAACAAAGTACTTCTGAATTTTAATGCTAAAAAAGGTAAAGGTAGAATTCTATTTTTTCGATCAATATTAAAATAAAATACTCGTTTCTGAATACCGAATTTGAGAACTTAGACAGACATATAAGTGGTGGTCAGGTTAGCCCGAGCGCTAGAAAGGAGGAGGCTCTGCAATTACATCATTACATGAACTCATCTGCAATTTTATTTTTATTTTATTTTGTTTATTGGAGAAAAAAACAGATCACAGGAGTATAACAAAACAAATATAAACAACAATACAGCATATTAAAGACAAAATACCTATGTCCTCAAACATTTCTCACCAAGAAATATAACTAAGTAAAAATGAGAGGATGCTTGGGTACGTACCTCACTAATAAATAAATTTGAAAGGCGATGTGTAAGCCTAATCTAGTATGTGAAGGGAGCGAGGGTGAATGTGCAGAGAATATCCAATACTTAAAACAAACTAAACTAAATTCCCAGTCAATTTAAATGAAAAACAGGACTGCTAGGTGGTTTATTCTTTTTTCTTTGCTGTGAAACGCGGCAGAGTTATGACGTAGAATATCAACCTGAGAAAATTCGTTATGAGTACGACATATTTTTCGTATTGGGGCGCGTAATCCCGCATTCGTGTATGATCGCGGTACATGAAATAGAGATTAATTACAATAGTGAAATAAGGTCAGGGCCTTAAAATATTTCCACCACAATCTAGTTGGCATCCAGTTTAAAATTGTAATCCAATGTAATGTAATGCTCTTAAATCAGCTCAACCAACCACTCAACGTGTGATGCCATGGAATTTAGAATGGTGCCCAGATACTGGTGCTATAGTATTCGATGGTGAAATTTTTGAACTGTTTTGTCACTTTGCTCATTTTCTTTTAACGACTGTTCTCAGAAGCAGTGGTGACAAGTTTCGCGAGTCGTCACTTGTCGAGACGGGGACATCCCGCTGGCCTGCAGCTGGTGGAGGTTCGAGACACCGCAGGCGTCTCATTGACCTGCTGCCGGGTGGGAGTTCAAGACGCAAGTCTACTCATCACCACTGGCGTTTGTCGCCTTGGCGTTAGTCGCCTTTGACGTGTGTCGTCAGTTTGCGTTAGTCGCATTGGCGTTTGTCGCCTTGGCGTTAGTCGCCTTTGACGTGTGTCGTCAGTTTGCGTTAGTCGCATAGGCGTTTGTCGCCTTGGCGTTAGTCGCCTTTGACGTGTGTCGTCAGTTGCGTTAGTCGCATTGGCGTTTGTCGCCTTGGCGTTAGTCGCCTTTGACGTGTGTCGTCAGTTGCGTTAGTCGCATAGGCGTTTGTCGCCTTGGCGTTAGTCGCCTTTGACGTGGGTCGTCAGTTGCGTTAGTCGCATAGGCGTTTGTCGCCTTGGCGTTAGTCGCCTTTGACGTGTGTCGTCATGTGCGTTAGTCGCACGGGCGTTAGTCGCCCTTAACGTTTGTCCTCAGTTGCATCGGCCGCCATCAGCGTTGGTCGCCACTGACGGGAGTCGCCACTGACGGGAGTCACCACTGACGGGAGCCCCCAGTGGTGGAAGTTGCCGATTGCGTGAGTCGCATTGGCATGAGCTGCACTTCTATGGTGTTGGTAGCCCTTCAAAGGCGTGAGTCACCCGACAATGGTAATGTACTGTGGGGATGTGAAATTGTTGGGATACCGTCGATTTCACACCTTTTTCTTTATTTTCACTTTATCTTGTCTTGGATGCCGTTTAGCTTACATTACTTTGTTTATTTGAAAAACATTTGGACACTACACTCATGCAAACAATAATGTTTCCGATAGTAATGGTGATGTTATTTCAAAATTCAGGATGACAAGGTGCTTCGGCCGGATCGTCTATGCCAAACCTTGAAGACGAAGATCGGGAAGGTGGCGCAGTAGGCGAGGCTACTACTGAAAAACAGAGAGAATGTGGCCGAGGACGACCAGGAGTCAGGAGAGGCCGAGTTAGGAAACTCCTTGGTCAAGAAACAAAATAGAAGCCGAGTTAGGAACTCCTTGGAAAAGAAACAAAATAGAAGCAGTGCGCAAAAAGAAACATAGGCACTTTCTGGTGGTCCGTCGTCGAGGCAACATCGCTCATGGGTTTTCGACTATTAATATTGGTTTAGCAATTAGTCTAAGGCTATTTTAAGGATATTACTCTGTAAGTACTTTAATTGTTGTTTAACTGGAGTTAGCAGGTTATCATTTCATTCCTTTATTTACCTTTTATATTTGTTCATTTTAATTAATATCGCATAGTCAAATTGTCAAATGTCTTACTGTTATTTTATTTTTAAAAATCCGAACGAAGTTCCTTAATATATAAATAAATTGTTTGTCACAATTCTTTTACACAGTTAACCAATAACCAATTAACTCAAGTGAAGCCACTTTTTTAATAAGAAAACAAAAAAAAAGCAAATAATTAACATTTATTATCCGGTTTAATATTGCTTCAAATTTAAATTATATATGATTTTTTTTTATAAAGAAGTAAACATATGAAACACCTATTGAATAAATGTATTTTTGCAAAATTGCAGTTCCACCGATAACTTTTAATGAATAATTTCTTATCACTTTCAGCGTTGTGTTACGGGAAATGTTAAAAGTCTATAAATGTTCACTTAACTGAAAATAAAGTTGAATTAAACTGTGATATCCAGTACAAAATTAAAACTGGTTTTTAAATAAATATGAATGGATGTTACTTACACTTTGTTTTGTGTTCTATTTCTGCCTAAATTTTAATCTCAATATTATGAAGCTTAATGAGGTAGATGTTTTAACACTCCCAAATAAAAAAAATACGTAAAAGCAAGCATTCCACTCTCTTATTAAAATTCAGGTACATAAGGATTATATTGCTCGATTATAGATCCATCCTAAAAACTTTCTTTGTCTATTTATCAAACAAAATAAAGTATTCAATTGTTTTACTACTTTTAATTAAAATGACTCTATTTTAAAACATTTCATGTCACCTAGCTGAACTTTACCTTCTCTTATTAATAATTTATAGCATAAGTGGCATTTCTCGTCTCATACACACATGAGCCGATGCTCAATATTTTTATACTAATAGAACGAATATTATCGGAGACACGACATTTGTGTTACCTTGCAGCAACCGTGATCACGGACAGACGGGATTAAAAATGCCCGAAATGAAGGACCCAGACGTTCGGAGTATGAAGTTTAAAATAATTAAAAACGCCTAGTGCATCCGAATATATCACTTTTATTTAAATGAATACCTTGGAATGTTTTAGATATGATTTTAATTTTATACAGTTGTTATGTACTTTTAAGTTTGAAGACGAAACATTAAACAACATCTTTAATTATTTAATTTACATTTCATACATTAAACAATATAAGTTAAATAACAAAGTACATGATACTAATTTAGTATAATAGGATTATAATCTAACAAAAAATATAAATTTTAATTTAGTCTATTTTCCTGAAAATTAGTTCTTTAGTGAAATAAGATATAGTCTAAACATACATTGTAACATTTGAAACGTCACTAACCACATTTCCACCAACTCGTCTTAACTTTCAAATAATATGATTTCGTAAAACATCAAACAATACCAAGTTCAAAACCACCATTGTGTGAAGTGATACCTAATAAAAAAATACTATCATTTACATTTTGTGCTATTATTAAATCAAAGTCGTTACTCAAATGAACACATCTGACAACGTAACAAATTACAAAACTATGTTATACTATAAAATACATACAAAATGATCAAGTAAGTTCAAATAAAACTCACCATTACACCTTGGACCACATATAAATAGAAACAATTTTCTATAACTATAAATTCTTTACTTATACAATTAGTAATAATGATAACTACTGCATGTCTGCTAATCCTTTACGAACAAAGACATTCTTTATAATTTTATGTAGTAAAAACAATTCAAATTTGAAATTTGAGTAATTTTGTATGTAATTTGCGAATCAATACTGTAAAGAAATAAATTATGAACCATTCATCATCAACACTCAACAGTTAACATAAAATAATTTCATTTAATTGCTTTTATCTACTATCAGAGCAGTGATTATTTGGGATCCTTTGTAATCACGGCTTTGAAATTCCTCTAATTAACATAACTATAATTTATATTAAGAATAAACGGGAACTGAAATTAGCATATGTATCACTACCGGGAGTCTATTGAATTATATCTGATTCTGAATATCTTAACAAGGATCACATTATGCGTGGTTCAAGTAGACATAATACTCTAAAGCCTATACAAGATATGTGATTGACTACTTAAAAAGAAATACCATACACCTTAGTAACACTGTTCTCATTAGTCTCTGCAACTACTGCAAGGATTGTTATTTTAGTTTTACAATTTAGTCGTGTACAACATTTATATAATAATATATATGAACATTTCCTAAAAAAATATTATGACTGCTTTTTACTCTTTGATATTTGCTTACAAGATATGGACGCCCTTACATAAAAGCACAATTTTATAAAGACACACATTATGACTATTAAAATTAAAGCTATAAATAAATATACATCAAGCATGTTATAGGCAACCCAACTCAACCTACGAGCTGGATTCTTCATATATTCTGCTCCCTTATTTCTAATAACGTACTCCAGCCAATAAATAGCTGTATCCATAGGAGATAAAGGTCTGTCTAGAAATCTACGGGAGACTTCTTTGGCAGTTTCAATGTAGGAAGCATTATAGAGCACTTCATTGAGAGCTGCACTCAATGTTTTCTCGTTAACATTATTGTAAGTTAAAAGTTTGCCGAAGCCCTTTTCTTGAGCTAGCATTAAATTGTTAAATTGGTCACCAAATATTGGCACACCCACGACAGGAACTCCATTGATTATAGCCTCATGCATTCCAATCAAACCTCCATGGGAGACAAACAGTTTTATGTTAGGATGCTCTGGAATATTGAAGCAACATTTCATAAATTAATTACTTATTATTTATAATCTATATTTTTTTGTATTCCTCCAGTTATGCTTTGATTAACATATAAAATTTTCTAACTATAACTTACATATTGTGAAGCATTGTTGTAAAAAGTAAGTATGCACGTCAGAAGGGATGATTTTATATAAGGTTCAGTTTTTAAAATTTATGATTTGAATAAAAATATCAGACATGAAGCATATTTTCCTTATTAAAAGTTATAAATTATATTCTCATATTAATTTATAATAAAAATACTTACGAAGAATTTCCTTTTGAGGAAACCATTTACGTGTAAACAAATTGGACGGTTTGTCATCTAACACGTCATCTTCCCATTTCCACAACACAGTTTGTTTCAACTGTCGAAATACATTTAAAAATGCATTTTTCTTTTCTACCGGTAATTCAATACTTCTTACATTTGAACCAAAGTTAACATAAACAACACCTTCTTGTGCTTCGTCCAATAGCTTTTGAAGATCCTAAAAAAAATTAAAAATAAATAGTAGTATCCATATTTGTGTTTATACAGTTTCTACCTTATTTTTGACACATACCTCAGGAAGGCTGACGTTACTTCTTGTAAAATGAAGTCCACCAATTTCAACTATATTTGGTAAAATTGCTGCAGGCGTGTCATAGCTAAAGTGGCTGTTAATCAACATCAAGGCAGTTTCTTTTTGCATTTCGTACAGTGAAGGTACTTTTCTTGTCAATTCTGGTAAATATTTTCGTACTAATTTCTCTTGCTCCTCCAAATACCAATACCTCCAAAATATATAATCATAAACACTGAAAAACAAATTACGGAGTCTTCCCCAAAAGCTCGTGGGATCTTCTACAACTAATAATTCTGACATAACTGTAGCCATTTGTAGAGGATTTCTTGTAATATAATTATGTTTCATACAATTTCCAAAAGTCGTGACAAGTACCAGAGGTGCATTATATTTATAAGCTAGGGCATAAAATGCTTCTTGAAAGAACTGTTCACTTATAACTATATCAAAAACATTATCTTTCTTTAAAAAGTTAATAAATTCATGTGACTTAAAAACATTTTCTGTATAAGCAATTCCGCCAGGCCATATAATTTTATCGTGAAATTCTTCGGTAGTTAAATCCACCATAGTGAAAATATTAGGTCTCTCGATACCTGAAAAAAATATTTATGATTTATTTGCCTTGCAGGAAAATGATGGGAGCCAAAAAAAATATTATGAAAAACTGTTTAAAAAAAACATATTAAGGAGTAATTGAGTCATAAAGGTCTATTCATTCTCAAAGTAATAGGGAATTAAAGACAATATTTAGGGTTGTTGCTAACACTGAATAGTACCAAAAAAAATCAAATATAATTTTAGGCAAGTAGGCAGTTTAATATTTAATAAAACTCTTGTTCCTTAAAAAATCTTCCTCGTCCCAAAATCTCAACTAATTAGCTTCTCCTAAAGCTATCACTCACCAAGTAGGTCCCATATCTTTGTATCATCAACTACAACCTGATGATAGTTGGGAGGAGGGTTGTTGTCTCTTATTGAAGTTATAACAGTGACGTTGTGTCCTCTCCTAGCTAGTTCTGTTCCGATCGGTTTCAGCATTATGTAATGAGATATCGCAGAGAATGGCATCACGTAAAGTATATTCGCCGAGTCCGAGAATTTTGTTAGAAATAACAAAAATAATACTGAATGTAGGTTCGCCTAAAAGAATAAATATTTTTATAAGACAAAATTTGTACGTTTTTACCTTTTACCCCGATTCTTGACAAAAAAATTTAAAATATATTATATAATTATAAGTCATAATCTCAGCCATTATGTAATCAAACATTTTTTCATATCTTAGGTACACGAAATCAGATTCTAAGTCAGATTTTGATCATTATGGTTAAAAGAAGAATTTACTTGCATTTGGTTAAATAACAAAAGCGTAGCATATATTTTCTATTAAAAAAGTCAAAGCAAACATAAAGGTAGTTTTTTAGTCTTAAATATTTGAATCGAAATTATTATAAATAAAATTAACTTTGTATTTAAAGTGCTTCAGTTTCTATATAAATTGAGTTAGTAATATTATTTTTATATATTCCTGAAACGTCCTAAAAATATGTGAGACTTGCGGAGTACGGTTAACACTTTCTAATGAAAAGGTAAAATCAATTTCAACTCCACGGAAAATTCAATTTGGTACCGATATTATAACGGACGGTAGCTGTAACCAATTTTAATAACTTTTTTACTTTTTTCGGCATCGAAATAACTCTCGCCGAACGCTGCTACTGTTAGATCACCACAGACATCGTTTCCACTACAATACCTAACAAAGCTATATATTATATCCTTTTACATTTGAATAATAATCAGACTATAAATCCCTAGTATATTAGGGAAGCTATATCTAAAGGGCGATCTAGAATTAAACATATAAATGCATCGTTAATTGGAAACTAATATAAATGAAGACAAATATTAAATACAATGTAGACTGTAGAGCCTAGTATTTTTCAAAACCATCCCTACTATGTAATTAATAAAGACAATTCTAGTAATACAAGTTATACATATATAGTTCTTCCATACATAAAATAATATTTATTTCACTATTATTTGATTATAAAGCGAATCAAGTCGATTTGCATCTCGCTCCAAACTGGTTTAGTTTCTATCAACTATTTTCGACTAGATATTATTTTATTTAAATACAGGAAGTAATGAAGAATTTTTTATTTCTATTTTTGATCCATATTTATAAGTTTTGGTGACACGTGACAAATCATTTAACATTTATTCTTGTTAACAACTTATACATTAGAGCGAACACATGGAAAGATTACGAAATGAAAATAAGTTTAACCTTAATAAACTATTTGTCCATCCATACTTTTAAATTAAAAATCTTAATTTGTTATAAAATAAAGGAATATATATTAAAGAAAATATAAATTAGCAATAATAAAAAAAGTAAGTACTTTTTAAATAATGATTTAGCACACAATAAATTAAGGGTAGAATTTAAATAATATAAACACTATAATAATACATATAATACATAAATAGTGAACATAATTTATATATGCAACACTGAAAAAATAACTACAGGAGATACTAAGACATAAATTATCAATTTAAAAAATACATACCATTTTTATTTCAAAATCAATCACAAACACGTAGTATCAATACTAGAGCAATAAATAAACTATATGAGGTTACCAAAACTATCGCATTTCATGCCCTTCATTCTATTACTAGCTTGTACTTATAATGGTCAACTTAAAAGAATTTATTATCTCGAAACAAATGACCTTTAGCTTTAATTTTCTTAATGTTATCACCACGTTGACATGACATTAGATAAATTATTGACGGCTACATTAAGTAATGGTTCTCATTCAGACGTTTTTAATGTGAATGTATAATTATAGAATGACAATTGATATTTTACATGAATTAATTTAATTATGAAATATTACTTTATTCAAAACACATCGCGGTAGGGTTCTACATATGATGGTCACTGTTTTTGTATAATGACATAGCTTTTTCTATTCTATTGATATGAGTGCCCTATTTTCAATATATTGCAGTATATGATCAATGAAACTAATTAATGCGGTGCATATTGTTTACATTTCCATAATAATTAATTATAATATATTAGATAATAGATGAATCTATATGTAAATTATATACGGTAATGTTAATTAGTACACATTGTAAAACATGATTTCATAAAACCAAACACTAAAAAATTAAAAGTTGTTCAAATAAAAAGCAATGTTGATAATGTTAGGTATGTACCTACATATGTAAGTATTTAGTTCAATGATTCAATGATGACAGTGAAAACCCTTTCGCTTTACAAGTGGCCTCAGGCTAAGTTGGAGTTTACCATGGCCACTATGGTCAGCCTTAGCCATGGTTTTCATGGCCATGACATAAATGGCTAGAACATAGTGGCGGCTTAAATGTTAAACATGCTCTCACACCTCTCGAAGTGCTTATTTCAAGATTCAATGAGGAGCAAAAGTTTTACTTCTAGTTAGTTTCAAGTCTAAAGGTTATTGGTAAACAACAGATTTTATTTACAACTTCATAAACAAATTAATCGTTTTCAAAACCGAACGGTGATTAAACTTATTACTTCTATATTTCTTGTAAATATTTATTATATATTTATATATTTGCACATTCCATAAGTGTTCTTTTAATTAACACTCAATTAACTAATGCGTTGAGTAGTTGTATTATTTACTTTATAAAAACTTATACATATATAAAACGCTACAATTGTTGTGAAAGAAAACTACAGGGTTTACAACAGTTATGTGACGCTTATTTCTATTTTATTAAAAGATTTATTCTTAATGACTATATTATTATATTTTTTATATTTAACATGTTTTCAGGTAATCGAGTATTTATAATTCATGGTTTTAGGTATAAATTTTTTCACTTTTTTATATTTAACGGTGTACGTATGGTTGGAAAGCGCCATCTATGTTACGATGTAACCTTTAACTATTGACTGTATTGCACTATTGGGTATAAAACTATAAGGTAGTTCCGAAATTACACAAGAGATGTCACGACTGTACACAGACAACAAAGATTAATAGACCAAAAGTAATAAAAAATCTTTTTTTGTGTTTTGAACTAGCTTAATTTATTAATTAACACAGTAACGATAATACAAAAAGTAATCATGATTTTTTTTTAATTTTTAAATTACATTATTAATTAATTTTGACATCAAATTAACGAATGGGTGTTACAATAATACTGCTATTACTTAAACACCTGGACAAATATTAAATATCACGTTATTTTAAAATTACACATGTACATATGTAATACAAAGGATACTATACTCGTAATACAAAGGAAGACAGAAAATAAAGTTTACAAGGTTTACACAAAAATTATTATTACTTTTTTGATATTGTCTGACATCAAAGTAGTTTATGGTTGATTTCTGAATTTATTTTATAACTTTAGTACTTATAAAGCAGTTTTATTATTCATATTCTTATTATATATATTTAATTTTTCTCTCAATAAAATTAAATTCGTGTTAGTCATACATACATTTTATTTGTATAAGCTTAAAACAAAATCTATGGGACACCGTCAACGCTTTATATTCTATTTATTTTTCAATTCTGTTGTTATACTTTAATAGGTAAACAGGTATTGCTTAATATTTTAACTTGGTTTAGTTATATTTCTAAAGCAAATATACGAAAGCTAAAGCTTTATAAGAAGTTTACTCAAGAAAATCTGTGAATCATTATGTGCCACAAAAGGTATATATAAAGAAATAAACATTCAGCCATTAAATTATTTATGACCATTAAATTGACAAATCAATCAAATAAAACAAAACATTAGTGTATATTAACACGTTTATTTTATGAGTACATTTATTAAAATTATTTTATTAAACTAACAATATTCAAAATTGTTATAAAAATTACAGTATTCACAAATCAATATTCAATTATATACTTATAAAAAAACGTATGGAAGATTGGACGGAATAATTATCACTTAAGGATAATGATAAAATAAAATTAGTAAAGCTTTATGACTTTATACATAGAGCAACTAACATCAAATTAACAACAAAACGTTAATGAATGCAGTTAATATAGAAAATATTCTCAATAATATAATGTATGAACTTATCAGTCTGTTTAATTTAATATGTTATATGAAAAATATGGCAATATATATATACATATATATCATTTCATAGTATCTAATAATCTCTAAGCTTCTCAGCAACTTTGTAATTGCTTCTCCTTCGTTCCGTGTAGAGTGGAGCAGCACCATTTCTTGATTCGTATCCAACGGACGAGTTACGTAAACCATTTTCATAGTATTTCACACTCGGTGGTTCCTTGTATCCACGGCTCTTTGTAACCGAATTGAGTTCCCTTGACTCAATGATCTCTTTGCATCGACCGTCTCTTGAAGGAATAACTTTTTTGCTGATAGTTTCAACAGTGTCCGTAACACTTGGTCGCTCCGGATCTCCAGATCTCGTTGTGTATCGATAAGTCTCCGAATAATTGTCACTACTGTTACTCTCACGCCTATTTGCTGGAGACTTCAATCTAGTTTCTAAACGAGACACGAAAGGACTCGTTTCTCTGTTGATTGAATCAGTTTTATAAATAGGTATCTTACGCTCTTCCGAAGACCGTTCCTTGTAATGTGGTGATGGAGTATTGTAACGAGGAGATAAACGGCTTCCATCAGAATCCTCGTCCGCATGTAATGTTTGGTACAATTCCGGTGCTCTATCACGAAGTCCTTTAAGGAAAATCTTTTTCTTATCTGTCTCTTCAAAAGACTTGCTATATCCATTCGTATGACCGTTTGTTACCGGTATTGTTTTACCATAACGAGCACCAAATAAGCCATCACGTCTGCGTTCAGTTTCTCGGGAAACAGCATCAGCCAGATCACGTTGACTTCGGTTTATAATTGAAACTATTCCGGGACTTTTGAGTTGTTCTGGAGTTTCATCGAGTCTGCTCAGATGTGGGTTAGACTTGTACATAGTTGAATAATTTCTGTTCATGCCAGTAACGTATCGGGGATGTGTCTCCTGTTCAGGAGCTCCCATAGCAAAACTCTTACTCCTATTCAGACCTTTATAGGTCCTTGCCGGTTTAGCTGGACCTGGAGGATACCCGTTTATCTTACCGTCTGGTGAAGAACCTACGTTATTTGAAATATTAATGGCACTGGTAGAACGTTTGTTCGACGTAAGTCGTTGCCAGTATTTACTTGAACTGGGCTTATCCGAAGTCTTTTCCTTGCGATCGTGCAGTTTCCGCGGGAGCGTCTGTGCACTTCTGATATAATCTTCCTCGGCTTCACTGTTAGGGTTTAACCGGCTGGTCGAATGACTGAACCGTCCCAACGTACTCGAAAACTGTCCCCTGCAATGTAGCAAACAATATATCATTAAAATTTTATCTAACAACTACGATCAAAAGACAGCCGCCCACGTATTATTCATTGTTATCGTCTTGTATCATATAAAAAATGTAATCATAAATTGTGTTTTAGTGTATAATTGGTTTCAATGGGGAATCTCCTCCCACACCGCTAACGATCTCTTTGTTTACCGGTATTATAATAAGTACATCTATGTCACATCGCTGCCAAAATCATAAATACGTTAGGGTCATTTGACTTTGATGTCTTAATAACGTTTAAATAAAAAACATACAAAGGGGATATTATAACTTTAACTATAATTATATATCAAAGTTCATGTTTAAAAAAATACCTCCGATCACTAATGACTTACAATTACAAATGACACGAAGACTTTGTAAAAAAAAACAACCAGGAAATTACGCTTGACTTAGAACAAGCGGTGATACCAACAGATCTACATGTGACAACTAAACCTACACTTGTCGGAAACATTTTCTAGCAATGAGTCATTCGTCATTACAAACAAATACTTATTAATTCACTGTTTCAGATAAACATGGCTAATTCAGCACAGTGAGCTAAATAAGGGCTGTTTTGCTCGACGCTTATTTTACCATACTGGGCAAGTCAACGGCAAGGACGACAGCAGAATAAAATGGCAAGATATGCCGGAAAAGCAACTCGATTGAGTTAACCTTAATCGAGATTGTTTTGATGAAGCAGATAATACTGATGTAAAAGTTTAAATTTATTTTCTAACTTCATCCGTTTGAAGAATATTAAAACATTTTAAGCTATATACAGAAATATTAAACTTTCTCTCTCAAATAACTTTAGTCCGAAGGAGTGCCAGTTAAATATCAATTTAAGGAAACGGTTTCAGAATATGGATTAGAACAGATTAATTAGTATGCAACTTGGTCGCTGTTTTCAAAATAAGCAAGAAACGTTGAAAGTTGAAATTCTACATTTGTTTATTATTTAAAAATTTGCATAACAAAAAGAAAACCTTTGAGACTGTTTTGGTTATTTCAGTATTTGTATCGGAATTCGAAACGCTTATTATTTCATTCATATTATACCTTCGAGTTACATTTACGAAAGCCTTAATTATGTAACTTAATAACCGTACAGTATTTTCTCGGAAACTCGTTGAATTCACATTGCCACAAAGCATGTATTCCAACTACTTAAAATTTAGATAAAGTTAAATTTAGGTAGGTACATATGAATTTTAAATGTTTAGGCAGTTGACTCTTTTATATGTGAATTATTTGCCGGTGGTTGTCAATCTAAATATTATTTATATCTAATGTTCTCATAGTAATTTAAAATAATATCCTAGTCTAAGAATAGTACTTTATACAAAGACACAATTATAAAGTGTAATTGATACTACAATAGAATGCCACAAGGAAAATTAATTAAATCTATTGCAGCGCCAGTTTTATTTCTAGAATAAATATAAAGAAAATGAAATATTTTAGTGTCTACATCATTGTTGGATTCCTTTTGGAGTCCGTAGATTTATGAAGTAAAAGTAGGAAACATTAATTAAATTATACTCACAAAATGTGGCTAGGCATTTGAACGTAACTTTTGTAGAACGAGATTCCATATATGGTTAATATCATAAGCAGGTGGGTATATTATTCGAAAAATAAGGCTTACTAAAATATTTTTCATCACAAATGTGTAATAAATGAGGTTTTAGTATAGAATTTGAGTAATTATAAGAATCTTACCTTTCTCGTTGGTCACGGGCGTCGGCAGCAGGCGCTCGTCTCGAACTGCCCTCGTACTTGTGTTCGCGGCCATAGATGCTGGGCGCGAAGGGATCCTCGCCGAGGTAGTACCGCTGCGGGGGGCCGGTGGGGGGCGCCAACTCACCGCCGTACTGTTTGTACGTTCGTGATGAATGCTCCGGCGACGGAGTCCGCGATTGACGCCACCTAGGCTTTCTTTCAGCAGACGCAGAACGAATTTTGCCTACTAATTTTCTTATGGAGTTACCGATTGCTGATCCAACTGATTTGCGAGGCGGTGACGGCCTTCTGCTGTTGTCAGCGAATCTTGTCTTTTGATTTTGTTTACGCTCGTCCCTATCTCGTCTACGTGGTGGAGTTTTATCTCTATCTGAACTACCGCGACGATCTCTTGGGGGCGAATAATCTGGTGGTGGTTCGTTAGTACCTTCATCACGACTGTCTCTTGACCGACCGGAATTATCATTTCGTGAGGAACTTCTGTAGCCACTATCATAACGATGTTCCTCAGATAAACGTTGCTTTGACTGACGTTTGCGTTCCGGTGCTTTGGGAGGCCTGTATTCGTCCTCGATTGATGGTTCACGGAATGACCGATCTGTTTCTACAGGACGAAATGGTGATCCACGTGGTGGACTGTGCATAGTAGAAGAAGAAACATAGGCGGAGTCATCACGCGAGGGAGGTTGACGCCTTGGAATAGGAGATGTTCTACCTTGGGGATAATCACGTTTATAAACATGTCTCGGAGATTCAATTAGTCGATCGTTGCTAGCATATGGTGATCTCACAGCTGGAGGCGACGGAGATGAGCTTCGTGGTTCTGGCATCTTTGGTTTGCTGGCTCGTCTCTGAGACCAATCCGCTACACCTTTAAAATATCCTCCTGTTCTGTTTCCAGATACAACTGGCCGCTCATCCGATGGTGTTGAAGACTTTGTCTTGCGAAGGACTCGATCCCCATAAACAGGAGGCGGTGGCACTGATGACGTTTTACCGTAATATCCTTCGTCTTCAGGTTTGTTCTTCACATAATAACCAGGCTCTGGTCGCCGTCCTATTTCTTCAGCTATGGAATCGTGCGAAGAACGGGAGTCGCTTCCGAAATGACTTTCTAGCCACTTAGATGTTTCTTTCTTGCGCGTTTCCTCTTCAATGTCAATATCCAGCGGTCGTTTTGCGTATTCTTTATCGTGTTCTGAAAATATACGACGTGTTAATAGTGTACGACGGGAACGTGCGCACACGCGGCGTTTTCGAGTGAAGTGATGGAGCCGCACCTCGCATCTTTACATGCCATGGCGTAATCATAAGTCAATAAGTCTGCCAAACTACTGAAGGTCAAGATGCAAACAACTGAGACATTTTACTTAACATTTACGAATAGCGGTAACACTTGTTGTCTTTTATGTTTTCTAGGTCACTGTACTTGCATTACGTAACACAATAAGTAATTCCAAATTAATTACAAGTTATAAGGCAGTCTGATATGTTTTTTTAATAATTTGAAGACTAGAATAAACAGAAATACCATAATTATGAACTTTACTCACAAAATAGTAACACCATTGTAATAAAAAAAATATAACTATTATTTTTAGATAGGTAGATAGATTATAAAATTTATTTAAAAAAAAGCAATTATGAAAATAACTATTTTAGTATTGCAACTCACTACATCTTTAGTATTTAATTCAACAGAGTTAAATAATCTTTAGAGGTGATCTTGTTTATGATTCATTAAAGTAAATTGAAATATTGTCAAAGAATAACTTGATACTTAATTTCAAGCAAAAATAGTATATTATATAAAAATAAAAGAACTTAAAATACAGGTATATATTATATTTTTGTCGTATAAAATTATTTAAATGTAAGGAATTTAAAAAAAGTTGTACTTTAATTACGTTATGCTATCAAAGAAAAGATATTTTAAAATCTCAACGAACATCAATGTGAGAGGTGACTTTTGAAATACTCAATTTTTCGTCGTCAAATCGTCAAGAACATCGATAAACAGAATCTACAAGTTAAAGTTGCGACAGTCGTTTTAACGTATGGCTTTTTAAAGAGAAGAGATTTCACAAATGCTAATAAAAATCAAATTAATTACGCCCAGGTCGCATTTTATGTATTTCGTTTCCGTTATTTGTAAAGTTCGTATAATTTTTGTGATAAATATATAATATTGTAGATATATAAATAAATTGAAGGTTGAAGTTGGATATATAAAGAAAATTTTACTTAATGAAAATAAAATCGATTTATATTCATGAACAATTATTTTAAAATCTAAAAATATATTCAAATTTCAAAAAGAACCTACATGTAATATTATTAAAAAATATATATTTTTGTACATTAAACATAATTTGACTTACGAATCGTTACAAAAATATGTCCAAATACCTCTCGTTTTGCAAAAAACGTGCACAAAACACAAAAGCACAATATTTTCTACCAGTATCTTGTCTAATTGTGCGTGTCACAAGCTGACTGACCTCCGATCCTAGCGTAGGCTCAATGAGACGCCATATAAGGTATTTGATGGACACAGACTTTTCGTTCACGTACAACTTAAAGCAATTAATTATTCTCCAAATTACATTGAAAAAGCAAACAAGACTGCTAAAATTTGAATGAAATAATAATCGTATAGAAATCATTGACTGCCTTATAATAAATTTTAAAACGATCTTTGAATTTGAAACTTCCTTGTTACTTTATACTATGTTCATGCCATAATTGATACAATGGGTTTTATAAACTTGGTATGAAACAAGTCCATTGTAAGTCGAGGTCAAAATATGTAACGACTCAAGATATTGTAAGTTGACAATGTATAATTGCTCTGCTCTAAAGAAACGAGGGCATACCTAACAGAGAATGAAGTTATACGATACAATAAATAAAAACACAAGTTAAAGTCGTGATGACATTATTAAGGCGATTTGATAGGGAAGGTAAATTATAAACAGATAACATTTATAATGTTGAAGAAGAAACAAAAAACTTCAGATCTTAAGAAATTTTTTTTTGAAAAAAGCAAAGACGTAATATTTAGAGTTAGACATTATTCAACATTAACTTGATAAGTAAAATCATTAATCAATCCAATCAATGTGAAAGGTACAAGTGGAATAAAAAATGTAGATATTGAAAATGCTATAAGAAAGATTTTGATTATCTCCTCCTTGTTGTATATTTACTAAAAACTATGGAAAGGGACTTAGACACTTAAGGTATTTTAATATGTGCTTCTGTATATCCTTATTAAGTGGTTATCTTCGAAACTATTAAATTGATTTTCACGCGTATAAAACCATATATGCGATCCGACAAACACCAATAAAACTTCCACAGTCTCTAGTTCCGTATAAAGTTACATAATAAAAACTAGCAGACGTAATATTTTATTCATCGGCATATAATTGTCGAAGTGCGTATAAATATAATTTATGCGAATTATTATAAATCTCTGCAAGTTACTTTAAAAGGCAGTGGAGCAGATTAGTGGGTAGATATTGAATAACATACTCTTAATATTAATATTTATGAAATAATATATTATAATTATTACGTCGTTACGTTCCATGTTCTGAAAATAGATAAGGATTCTCCATAAATAACAAAAGCGCAGATATGTTTTGGAAAATAAAAAATCATTGGAAAGCGAATTTTTATGCCAACATTATTTGAAAATACGTTTGTCTGTATGTAATTCTTGCAAGTTTAAACCGCGAAACAGATATTGATGCAATTAAAATGAATCATAAACACTCACTGAGAAAGAAAGATTATTTTTTTGTGACAAAAAACTTGAAGTGTTTGAATTAAAAGATGAAGTTTTATATGGGAGTCGATAACTTTTTCAAAAAACTATAAAACCAACTTATTAATTTAATGTTAAGGCACTTGATCGTCATCATTTCAGCCTATAGATGTTTACTTCAGTCAATCTTACCCAGGATCTTTTACTGTTGTCATGCGTGTCTGCGATTCTCCAAAAAAACTCTAAAATTAAGGAGGTTCACAGTCAACTTCAAACACGCGAACGCAGTCACTGGCAGTGCATAGTAATCGATAACACTTAATTATTTTTGTTTATCACCATGCTTGTTTAATGATGATTAGCACGATACTGGCTGTATAATGAATTTCTATAACTGAATCTTGGTATGACGATTAAAATCATAAAATTTATGTCAATGTCGGTGTCTTCATGATTCATCTCACTTGAATTGCTATTTTATATTTCTATTTAAGGCTTGTAGTTATAATAGTAGGGACTGACAAATTTGCTGTATGTGTAATAAATCAAATAATTCTTTAATATTCACAATTAATATTATTAGAACTAACACATACGTACTTACCTACGATTAAAGTTTTAGTTAGGATAAATTCTAACACGATATTAAAGATTTGACCTGTGTTAACTTTTATTATCTTTTATAAATATGATGACTTCACTACTTTACTCAAGGAACAGGAAAATATAGTTATTTTTAAATATATATTAATTCCCATTAGACAATAGTAAAATGATATTTTTAGAATTTGGATAACGCCATCTATCGGGAAATGTTCTAACAACTACAATAGGACCTTAGAACAGTTCTCAGCGTCATCTATCGACGAGTAGTATAACAAAATAGTTCTGAATACACACCGGTTTGACGGAGACGGCGCTGGCGTCGCATTCTTACAGATAAACTTTCCCAGTCGTCATCCATATTAGGTTGTCCTTCTCTTTCAACTAAAAACAAAAATTTAATTTATTACATCGGCAACGACGAATAAAAAGCTGTCTGCAGCATGAATCGGCTGTTTTACTTCAATAGGATGAAAAAGTCGTTATGAACATATTGGATTATATTATAGGATATTTTACTGATTCTATGGTCATTTCCTTTTATATGGACCATTCTTACTACGTTTTCTAATATTTATAATATATAAAAACCATACATACCCTCTTCTGTTCGTGTTCTGGAATGTATTTGAGTACCAACTCTTAGACCTCCCGCCATCAGGTCCGTGGATTGTTCGAGATCAACTCTCTTACGTCGCTCTGTACCTCCTGTTTCTTCCACCAGACTTTCGTCACTTTTTATTGATTTTGCCTGCAACAATTTAATATTTCAAATATAGTTTTATTTTCACATTACTCCTTATAAATATGAATGTATTATTACTCTCACGTACCTCGTCTTTGGATAACTCTTCGTCACAGAGTCGTTCTTGTTCCCTCGTGTGTCTAGTTTCAGTGACAATAGTGCCGTCTGGGCGTAAAGCTCGAAGCTCAGCCTATAAACAAAATAATATGATTTTTTTTCATACTTACAAAAACATTACAGTGTTTTGAATTCAGCAATACCAAAATTTTAATTCGTAGCTTAATTAATCATTCAATGTACCTATATACATTTATGGTTTGAACTCATTGGCAACAAAAAGTTATTTCATAAGTTTTGGGGAAATATAAAAGACATTTAAGTTTTAACATATAACTTAACAATAAAGTGTCAACCATGAAGTTTAGTTATATAAATTAGAAATTTCAATAAAGCCAAAGAGGATGGCAACTTTAAAGATTTAGTTTTGACAAGCAATGGTTTTTACAAGTGGAAGTTTTTGTTTAAGTTGAATTTCTAAGCTTATTAACTATAAATTTACAGGTGTTATACCGTATCATCAGTGGTTATGGTAGTGTTGTATGCGACTGTGTCTTTCACGAGGGTTGGTCCCCGCGGAACCAGCGCCAATTGCTGCTCCGTCTGGACCTTCAAAGCATCTCGGAAATCATCTTCCTTTGTCTCATTCACAGCTGCTATGAGTGCCTTTAACAAAAACAACAATATAAGAAATTTTATTGACATTAATAAATGTTAAACCTAATTATACATTTCTTAGAGTCGGTTTTAATAATACTGCTATATTTTCATTTTACAACCAGCATATCATTTAATCGATATAAAAACTGTAACGCACGTGTGAAATTATCTTATATTCTACAATAGACACAAGAAACGTCATCACTCAACCATCACAATGACTGAGACAACATTTTATAAGAAAGCCGCAAAATACTGGGCTAATGTACCTGCAACAATAGACGGTGTACTCGGCGGCTTCGGCCACATTACGGACATTGACATCGAGGGGTCCAAGAAATTTTTTAATTACATATTATCACTAGAGCAACCACCGAAAACCAATTTAGCCTTGGACTGCGGAGCCGGCATCGGAAGAGTCAGCAAGAATCTTTTGATGCATTACTTCGTGAAGGTCGATTTAGTGGAACAAGACGAAAAGTTCATTAACACGGCAAAACAATTGCTTGGCGAAAACAATGCTAAATTGGGAACGTTGTACCAAATCGGGCTTCAACATCTTAAGCTACAAAAAAAATACGACGTGATTTGGTGCCAGTGGGTGCTTGGGCATTTAAATGACTATGATTTAATTACATTCTTGGAAAGATGTAATCAAGCGTTGACTGAATATGGCGTTATTATTGTAAAAGAAAACATAGCACCAACAGATGAAATGGAATACGATGATGAAGATTCCTCTGTAACTCGTCCATATAAATTAATGGAGAAAATATTTGAGGACGCAAATCTTCGTGTAATCGCCAGTGAGATCCAAAGTGGTTTTCCTGATGATATTTATCCCGTTCATATGTTTGCATTAGCGCCCGACTCAGTAACACAAAATGTAGCGGTACGTTCTATCAATTAAAATAAACAGTAAAGCAATAATATTCCGACAACTAGAACTACTATTGCAGTAATAGATTACGGATTACGGATTCTAGATGTGCGGAATAGTCTTCATAATAATGTCTCCCGGTGACATTGGTAATAATGCATGTTACTATAATAATTCTCAAATAGCAATTTATGTCAATGTAATTTTGTACTAAATTATATTCAGTGCGATTAATATGATTTTATCTTGACAGTCCACCAACAGGTAAGTTAAGGATTTGTATTTTAAATATCTTCGTTCAGCCTTTACATTGTTGATGAGATTCTTAGTAATAACACTGTGGTAGGTTGCTAATGTTAAGCATTCTATACGAAGTTTATCTGTGATGAAGTGGTGGGTCGTGGGCAGAATTCGTGCTGTTCATAATATGCGATCTGGAACGTGCCAGCGGAATGATATTTGCGAATTAACCGTTTACCGCTATTACGAAATTATTGCGTCAAACGCTACTTTGTGACATTTGATTAATTGTCTGTTTCCATAGCAATTTTAAATTTTCTTTTCAAAAATTATTTGCACATTGTGTAAAGTAAAAAAAAACAATAAATTTTTAGATAAAAATTTAGTTCAACTTTCTTTTCATATGTTTTAAATAACACATTAGAAAATAATCTTGGTTTAATTTCATATTCCGACAAAGAACAGTTATCAATTGATATCATTGGCCCATTATTAGATCGTCTTTATTATAATGGCAATTTATCTTTACGGTTATACAAATTATAATGCCGTACCATTTATAAATCTATACTTTGGTGTGTTGTACATTAACGTTAATTTGCCTTCTATCATTCTTTATATTCATTTACCGTATTGTAAGTTCAAAAGTCAGGGTGGTACACCTTCCAAAAAGTTCAGACTAATTGATACGACTATATTTTAGTATTAATTAACTTCTGGATAATTAACAATAATCAGTTACACATACTAACTTTACCTTTAAATGCACTTTTTATTGTTTTAATTTAAAAAATGTTCACGTGTTTAATTTATAAATTATTTTCCAAATTTATTAGGTAGAAAAAAGAATTTGCAAGTAGAAGCAAATAAGCAAGTGAAATTGTGATATTGTTTAGTAAATAAGTTTCAACAATGAGTTTTACCTTTTAATCGCGTTTTTTGTATAGAGGTGAAGAGAAATTTTTAAAGTATTGTTTGAAACAATGCTCATAATTTCATACACCACAATTACTTAAATGTAAAGATAGCGGTATGTCCACTCTTAATAGAAATAAGAAAGTCGTTATTTAAGAATGTATGTGTGTGTACTTAAAAATTTTAGAAGCATGTTCATTTTATCTTATTATTACACATTTAGACATGACATATGGCAAATGTTGACGAAACAGCAAAAATTAGTCATCCTTTTTATAGTACTCTATTGTCAGCGTTCATATTTAAATAAAATCACCAAAAATAAAGTAATGAAGTAAGAATATTGTTAATATTAAACAAAATGTTTTACTAAATTCCATAAAGAGACTCGTTTAACAGATGGAAGTCTCGGTGACAATTTGTCCTTGCAAAAATGTATAAGGCTATGGCTGTTTTGGAGATATGATAAGTCACATTTTAAGTTACGTAAAAATATTGTTAAATAAATGAAAAAATATGAATGCTTAAATAAATTTACGAAGCAAACAAAAGGTTTGCAAAACCACATCATAAATTATTTGAACAAATTGATTATTCTATAACATAAATAATTAATGATTTGAATTCACAAAATAACATTAAACTATAGTATTAATAAATACTAAATTATATATTACATTTAGTATCTCGAAAGCATTCATTAAGATCGGAATAGTGATGAATGAATATATCGATATTTTAATATACTAAGACCTTTATCGTAAATTATATGTTGAAATTGTTTGACGCAGTTAACATTCGACTAATCTATATTGCAAAGTACTTTACATTACTCATTATTATTTTAATAGGTTTACATATAAAGGGACGTTTGCTTAATATTAAGTGGGCACGATCCGTTAATACCTACGAAGTAATTAAATGTTCAGCTATTAAAACAAGCATATTCTTATCGTGATTTTAATATTTATTATTATAAATTAAATAATATAAATAATGTGTGAATTAAGTATTGTGAACCGCTACTTTGACTTCGTAACAAAATAGATACTTTCATTACAAAATAAAAGTTCAAATAACACGGAAAACCGATTAGTAGCTTGGGCAAAGCGCCGTTGTCTATGCTCTACGGTCTTGGCATGGCAGTGCTAAATACAAACCAGCTTTTTCTATCATAAAGAATAATTATAAATAAGTATCAAACTGTCTTAGCCTTGCTTAACGTTACAAACTGGTATGAATGAATGCACTCTTGTAGGTACTTTGTAATTTTAATTTGGCACCGACAATTTTAACATCTTTCATTCACAAATCGTTTGGAAAAATAGTTTATTAAGCGAATTATATACATTAAAACTGTAGGTGTTAAGTAAATTATGAGAACTCTTACTGGATTATAAAACAAGAAATTGTGTCAAATATACGTATGTTTTTATATATTTCCTTACATTTGTATGCAACTTACAGCTTATATAACTTTGGCTCAGCTTTATCCAAGTCAAATTCGATTTCAAAATACAATTCCGTCTTACTATTGCGTGAATAATGACGAATGTAATGAAGTGGTCATAAATTCGCAGCATTAACGGCCTAAAGGTTAATCGTACTGAAGCTATCAACGGAATTGATTCTTAATAACAGTCTTTATCTGTGTCTGATTTTAAAGTGATCATGAGAAATAATTAACATTCCACCGTTGTGCGCTATTATAATCATTATTTAGAGAGTTCGTTCACACCATCTACTATAAAGTACAACTAAAAAGTCTTCCAAAGTACGAATAAAAAAGGTTTTAAAACAATATTTATTAATCAGAGACAATTATCATACAAACGTTCACAATTCATATCGCGGAAGATTTGATCGCACGTGCACATCGCGATTGCATTGACAATTAATTGCCTTATTTCTATATAATATTGCGAAATTACTTATAACAAATCCTCCTCGTTCAGCATAACACCATTAAGGAAGAGAGATATTAATGAGATACTCCCTTTATCTAACGACCGATCTAACCCACGCAGGAGATTGCATGTAAGAGGTTTTCATTCATATCTAGCAATACCGGTGCATTCAGCTTATATATCTAAAGCATTTCGATCAGGCAAATGGGCTATTGAATTACTGGTAAATTGTAGTTATAATAATTCACAGATTTATTAAATATAAAGAATAAATTCATGTAAATAGCTTTAATTATTTTGCAAATATAAGTCACGTATGCGCAAGATATAACAATTAATACGATGTCTATCTCTCTCCGTGTCACAGGCTTTCTAGCGACATCTGGAGATGAAACACGCGATTAGTTCTTGGAAAACTAACAATCATTCTACGTCTGGCTTTTAGTCTCGCCGTATAAATTGTCATGTTGTTAGACTGGTTTCATCTAATGGATGAATATTATTAGGTCCGTGACTTGACTCAAAAATGTATTATGTAAGAACTGTCGAATGTTACATAGCCTTATTGTAAAAACGATTAACTACAAGTGAAACTTCTAATAAATGTTTCGTGTTCCTTCGAGCAAAACCGTATGAGGTAATGGACAACGTATTCCGATATACGATATATGTGATAGTGGTTCAATATTAGTTAAGTTGTTTATTGGGTCAGAACAGTCCCTTCGAATGATAGACCTTCGGCCAACTCGTACTTTATGATACAATGAAACAGGTACATGGAATTTAGAAACAGATTTATCGTGATACGAAATTATATTTTAAAGCCAATGCCAAATAGAATTCTCATTGTAAATGTTGTATATAAACGTGTCAGATTAATTCTTGTTACGTTACTTGGAATTATTCAATGTAACATTTAACTAACTGTGCAACCTAGTCGAAATATAGTTTCAATGCAAATGCTAATATTATTAAAAAGTATTCTAAATAAAATTATTTATATACATATTTATACAAAAAGATTTAAATCTTTTGTGTCTTTACATAAATTTACGTTCACTTTTATATTTATCTCCATATTTGTTTATTAAATATTGTGATGATAAATTCTTTAACTACAAAAGACCCACCCAATCTTGCAACCTGTATTTCGGCCTTGAGATATCCAACGGTTTGCCCTTTCATCGCATTTAGACGTCTATAAATTTTAACCTCTTATAACAATCTTTGTTCATTTGGTTATTTAGTTTTAAAATATCTCAATTTTTTTTATAACACCGTGTTTGTTATAAATGTCAGTATTTGAAGGTTGTATATTAACAAAGTCAAAATAATATGGAACTAATTAGTTGTTGAATGATTATAATAATTTTAGAAATTAATGGATGAACGTAGAAGTCTTATTTGTACAAAGTGTAACAAACAACTTAATTCAAAATATTGCAAACCATTGTATAATCGCGAACAAAGTCCTTATACTTTCAAGATGCTAACAAGCCGGTGTCTGTGACATAACCGTCCTTGTATCAACATTGCACGCTACTATTGGAGTTGAATAAATATTTAGACCACAACAAAACCCGATTTCTTTGAATAACGTAATATTAAATTGTAACTACACGTTAAATAACTTAGACAATAGGAATGAAGCCAAATTAAGCGTGGGCAAGTTATTGTTCCCAACTTTAGGATTGGCTTTGGTCATTTGAAGCCATTTTTTTGTCAGTTTTTGAGCCGTTCATTTAGAACCGGCGGTTCTTCATTGTATTAAACCACCGGTTTTCTCGGGAAAACGAACTCGGGTTCGTGCCACTTTCTTGTAGAAGATCAACTTGAACTTACTACTTTCGTATCTGCTTTTCTTGAAATAGAACCGGAATCACTCTGCCAAAAAGCTATCATTCGTTAATTCGCCATAAATATTATTAAAAAAGAATTCTTAACTATTAACCTGACTGATCAATGATA